ATAAAAACTACACAGAAATTTGAACGCAATGAACCAGAGTAAGTCATTACTCCACACGTTGCATGGACGGTGCATGTAGATCTAAGATTTGGAAGCCTCTGTCCAAGAGCAGCCGAGCATTCTGAAGTGCAGCATACCGCAGAAGCGCTCCAACGTCCTGACAAGCACGATCCGGTCGTGTAAGTGCTGCGTGCAATTGATGTTCTGCCAGATTTCAGAAATAAACTATCCTGTCACTATCCATTATGCGTGACAAAGTAGCCGCAGACCTGGTATTTTTCATCAGGCTGCATCATTTGAGTTTCTGATCGGGGTTTTCAAACCTGTAAGGTGTGGATACTGTAGAAATATAATGACGGATAATAAGCTCAGACCGGCATTCAAACACGCGAACAGCCGGACTGACGCGGCCACCCGCGCGGCGAGAACATAAAATGTTGATTCTGGCGGCATCACTCGGACGTGTCGCAAGGTGCTCCCGTTTCACAACTGAAGATGGAATTCCTGGCGCCGACGAGCTACAATCTGCACACGAGAGCGAGCGCTGAACGGATTTCGGGCAGGTCGCTGCATTGCAGATTGCCTCATTATCTCGTGCACAACGAATAGCAGCACCTCGGGGCGAAAGTGCGCCATTCGCTCGGATGCCAAGACCTGACCGAGCCGATGACGCCACTGGAGAATCGGCGCCCTCTGTGCTCTGCGGAGCGAAGACGCTTTCCTGCGCTAGGCTATGCAGAGCGGCAAGGAACGATCGGTGCTGAGAACGCCTCCGCATTGCCGAGCATGGTCTTCAACTGACTGCTGTGAATGCGGAGAGATTCCAAATGAACGAGGTCAGGACCGGGCAGTGGTATCGGCAGAGAGTGGCAAGTGCTCAGTAATCCTTAGTTAGGTTAGGTTTCGTCTCTCTCGCGAAGCTGGTAGGCCACTGGTCTGGTCGTGAAAATGCCACCACCGAGCGGCCGACGTTCAGTCTTCGTTCCCCATGCAGTCGTCACAGTGCGCCTGAGTCGCCTGTGCCACGCTTCCATTCCCTCATTACCGATACAAGGCAATTCATGGGGAATATTAGGGGTGTATGCCTGACACGATATCAAATTACGATGTTGGCTGTAGCGACTTCGACCATCTGATCGCGTGCATCCAAGGTTGATGCGCGGACAAAACAAAAATATGATCTGAAACTATCATGCTCATGCTAGCTGTGGGGAAACTTGAACACTAAAATGTCTTCGTCTGTTTTGAGACAGCCGTTCCGAACAGAGTTATGATTGACTGCAAATAGCAGAGTCGCGATTTCTAGTCGATAGCGTTTAAACCTTACCGATTTTATGAACACTAAACTTCTGATATCGTGGCAACACTGCGCTGCCATGAAATAATACGGACGATGCAGACGACGAGCTAACAATTAGCACTTACAGCACGCTGAAGGCTGCAGGGAATTGCTGCGCACTGACATACGCCTCACATGCGCAACAAATCCGGGATGTACAAAGGTCTCTTAACGCCAAGGGCAAATGTGCACCAATTTAGGAAGGCAGTTTGCGTCAGGTAAGACCGGGTGTCCTTGATATATTTTCCTGTATCATATTTCGTATGCATCCAAGTTACGTTGCTAACGTAGGTACCCAACATTACAGGAATAACAAGTCATGGTTAACGTGACCTTTTTACAGCTGATTAGGCGGTTGCCACGCTGTTCAGGCACGTTGGAGCTGCAAGTTCCCGGATGCTGACGGCCTGCAGGATAGTGATTAACTAAGATTCCACTCGTCACAGGCTGCATGTTGGTTGTAACATATGCCATATAGGGACTTCCGACGGTCAAAGCTGGATACACATGCAATTTATGTTTTATGAGATCAAACACATCACCAGGAGGTAAAAATTGTAGATGAAGCGTGCCAAATCGAACCTCGCACGAAGCCGACCTGGTGCCGGATGCAGGAGTGATCCTCGAAGGTTGTCACTTCATTGAAGACATCGAAGTGGTATATGATCAGGACGGAGTAGCACAGTTCGTGCTCAGTCTCAAGAACACAGATTTCGTTATTGCAGTTTTCCCACCCTCGGTGTTTTTCGTTCACGACCAGTTTCAAAACATATGCCCTACGGCACTTGCTCTCCACTAGAACTTGCACCTCTGGCATGACAAAGCGTCGTGGGTGTCACGTGCCGATTCGTAATTTGTGACATACTCCAATCACTCCGCCCACTCAGTAGCTGCAGCCGGCCACGACACCACGTGACCCCGCGCCGGCCAGTCGCCGACGTCTGGAGCGCTAATTAGGCGCGGCCAGACGGCGGGACGCCATCTACCGGGCTGCCGACCCAGCTCCCTGCTGTCAGGTCACTGTCGGGTCACTGCTGGGTCACTGTCAGGTCACTGTCGGGTCACTGTCGGGTCACTGTCAGGTCACTGTCAGGTCACCGTCAGGTCACTGTCGGGTCACTGCTGGGTCACTGCTGCGTCACCGCCGTCTCCGGCCACGCACTGATGCGGTGTTGCTGACGATCCTCCGCGTTCGTTCTCTGGTGCGGTCATGGGTCACGGACGGACCATGATGGGTCACTGAGTGACCATGCTGGACCAAAGGTCACTGGTTGACCATTAGATCGCAAGCGCTCACGGGGTCACTGCAGAGGTCAAACATCAGTCACGGCCGCTGTAATGAGCAGGGTAATGAGCCATGGTTACCGTGGGGTCGATTCCCGGCATCGGCGAGGTCGAACTCAGATGTCGTCCCCGGCTGCCGTATTGGCCAAGCTTTAGTCCTGACCGCTGTGGGGATGTTGCCCAAGGTTCCGATGCCCCTCTGTATCGGTCCCAGTCATGGTGTCGGGTTATCACGGACAGTAAGATACCCAGTGCGTTCTGTATCAACTGGGATGTGCGTTCGAAAATTGGTCGCATTTTAAAACAAGGCTAATTGGGACTCCGAGCCTATTCAGCTGACATCTGACGCGTGTGGGCACCAGAAGCTGCTTGGGCAAAAACATCTATAAAATCCTTGGCTCGACTAAATAATAAAAGTTGACGCTACCAGATCATAGCAACATACTGTAGGCACCTCAGCCAACCGATATCGCCAGAGAAGATAAACAGAGTGCGAGTCAGATATGACCCTACATATTTCGGCGGAAGTCTGTACCAGAGATATGATATGCGTACACAATGATGTAGCATGTGTACACACACAATGCATACATTCTAAATGTGCTGAACTGAAAGCCTCTCGACACCTCTTGCAGGCTGCTGGCTCTTCGCATCATTTTCGAATGCACCGATCGCCAATCCATGCTTATCCACGCCTCACGGAATATGCCAGTCTAAGGTGGTAAACGGGGGGGGGGGGGGGGGCACCGGTATAGCCGGTGACCCTGCGTGCGAGTCTGGCTTAGGACACAGTACACTGAAATCATGTCATCCTCGCATTCTTTTGCATCTTGATGGATCGCCTCGAAAGGCCTTTATTTAGATTCGGAGGCCTTTTTAGACTCGAAATATCATTTGCTGTTTCGTGGACCAGCTTTCTTATTTTAGAAGAACTACGGGCGTTTAAGACGGTCAAAAGCTACTGGCACCGTTGGCCGTAGTAGGCTCCCGCTTTTTTAGGGGGAGGTATGGCCCCAGAGGCCCTTGTTGGCTACGCCACTGAGCACGTGCATAGTTAGGGAGTGACTGGTACCATGTATGCAAAGGCTGAGAAATCAAACTCGTATTTTTTGACATTCAATTCAACATGGAATATTCGTTTATAACACTACCCCACAATACGACATTCTGTTCTCGCAATTTGGAATGTTTCTGACACCTCGAAATATGCAGACGGCCTTTTAAGTGATGGGTTTAAGCTTGGATGTATCAACTTGGGAATGCGTGCTGCAATGCATACCGCTTTCAGTTTGGTTCATATTTCATCCAGTTTAACTCTCTTTACTATCTACATGGACAAATATCTATTTTGAAGTCATTATGAGGTAGACGTCACGAGAAATCGCTTGAGCCCATGCCCACGTCTCTACGGCAAATATTTTCCAAAATCTGGAGTGAGGGCTATCGGACTCCTCGGACATAACCATCGTCAAAGAGCGCGACAGGAATGGGATTAGGCCTATCAGTGTATTTTTTCCTCAACGCTGCATTTACTTGAAATCCAATTTTACAGGTTACAAACAGCCCACGGCGCAAAACGATTAGGCCGTTTTCAGTACATCAGCGCATCAAATTGTTGAACAGAATACACGTGCGTTCAACAAATGGAAGGCCTGGTAGTCAAGCCCGCCATCTCAACCGAGTCCAGGCGGAGTTCTCATGATGGTTTGAGAGTGGTGCTAGATGTATGCACCAGCCTTTGGTTACCGTCAGCGATAATCGAACCATCCATATATCTGACTGGCCGCAACTATGGCTGGACCACGGGCCGCGAGCGCCGTTCTGGCTGAGGACTGCCAAGGTATTACACCATGCTTGGTTTCAGTTTCGCTGCTAGAGACTGTCATAAACTGTTATCACTGCTGCGACGGCAGCCATTGTTAAGACTGTTTCGACTGGGGCTGACTGCTGTGATACGCATAACGACTGTTCCTTTGTCACTGAAGAACGAACGGTGCTGAGACATTCTGCCGAGATCTGCTTTGACACGCTCAATTATGTGGCTGTCGTGACTGCTGTGGAACTCCTGACCACTGTGACATTCGTGACTGCTGCGGAATTTCTGACCACTTCACAGCTGTAACTGCTGTGGAACTCCTGACCGCTGTGGCATTCGTGACTGCCGTGGAACTCCTGGCAGCTGTGACAGCCGTGACCGCTGTGACTGTCGTGACTGTTGCGGCGCCGCAGCCGGACCGGTGTCACAGGCGGGGCCGAGTGAAAGTCTGACGCGTTCGGACGGCCGGGCGGGGTCTGCGACCCAGGCCCGGCGGCCAGACCCAGCCGAGGTCGGCACCGCGCCGCGCCCGGCCGCCAGTGCTCGACCCGGCGGCGGCGCGTGCCCCGGCTCCCCCTGAGCCGGCTCCGAGCGAACCCCGCAGCCGGACGGCAGGAGGAGACCGCGTGGACTCAGGCGGCGGACGCCCGGGTCCGCCAACACACCGGAGGCCAGGTCTCACGGGTACCACGGAGGGAAGGACCGTCCGCTGCCACGAGGCTGGGGAGACCCACCTGGGCCGCCGGCGGTCTAAGGAGACGCAGCAGAGACTGCCCTGAGGAGAAGCACCAGAAACGCCGTCGCTGTAACAGCCAGTGCGTCCCAGCCGGCAGCCGTCCTCCGCACACCTGACTCATCCGCCACCTGTCCTCATCCTCTGCATGAGAGTCCGGACTCTGGTGCCGCGCCGAGGCAGCGTGGTCCCGATGTTGCGCCTGCTGCTGCTGAGTGCGTGCTCGTGTGCCCTGGCGCCGGCGGCGGCCGGTCAAGAGCAGTGGACACGCCGCGATGGAGCGCCGCCGACATCGGCGCAGCAGACTACCGAGAGGTGAGCCGAGCACATCGCCTGCCAACCGACTCCAGGGCACGCACGTGACCACCGACAGCTGCTCTTGTCGCTCACACCTCATCGCCGACTGTGCGCAGTTAACTCAGATGTAATCACGTCAAGCTTCTGACAGATGATTCTTATCAGCTTGTTAGATTACTTTTGACTAACCTGAATACCCCTAACCAAGCAGAACTAGTTTTTGTTGGTACTTTTACATAGGTATGAGCCTCGGACTAAGTACCTTGTTCACACGACGCACGCGTGGAGAGGCTGACAAATAGAATATACTTGCCATATGAAGGTTAGTCTGCCGCGTCGTCTGTGCTCTTTAGACGCGTGACATGCGCGTGAAAGGGATGTTTGGAAATAACCAGTGTAGCATATTTTACCAAAAACAATCGCATAGCAGCCCGGCCTGCGTGAAAGATCCGCGAGAAATGCAGCAACAATGAACTCTTGATAACCGTTTTCAAGGAAGCTGACACTTGGGCGTCATGCAGAAGATATTGCGAAAGATGATCGTGTGGGGGAAAGTTCGTGAGGACAAAGTCGAAAATATAAAATTATGACAACGAAAGGTCGTACTAGACGACTTCATATGATATGAACTTTGCATGACATAGGAATCGTACATGACAATGTTTGGATGAGATAGGTGATGTGTGTGATACATACCTAAAAGGATCAACATCGTGCGGCATAAGCATCTTGCGGTATACGTGTCGCAAACGACCATTTCAGCATAGGATGATCACGTGTATAAAAAACATCGCGTTTCATGAATGTTGTGCTTTATAAAGGAAGTACTTTTATATACATAGCACGTATCAGATAACCCCGTGAAGTAAAGCATGTTGACCTGTGTGCGACCAGACAAGGTAAGTATTATGCATCATTATTCTGAGAAAGACCAACCTTCCGCATACCTCCTGGCAAACTTCAAGTCGCCTGTTCACAGCACAAGGGCGCGTAACGCCGAAAAATTGGGAGCTTAAGGCTCTGCTTGCTTACATCAAGATCAGGTTAGGATGGGTTGTGTTGGACCGAATTGGGGAAGGTCAGGTGAGGATCGGTTTGGCTTAGTTCAGATAACCTGAAATCGGTTCAGTTCGATGCAGTTCAGGCCATTTTAGCGGGTTTGGGTTGGGTCGGACCGGGTCAGACTCAATCGGGTTAGGTTGGACTGGGTCAAGCTCAGTTGGGTTGAGTTGGAATGGACTGGGTCAAGCTCATTTGGATTGCACTGGGTTTGACTGAGTTAATCTCAGTTGGGTTGAGCTGAGTTTGACTGGGTCAAGCACAGTTGGATTGAAGTGGTTTAGACTGGGTCAAGCTCAGTTGGATTGAAGTGGGTCAGACTGGGTCAGGCTCAGTTGGGTTGCGTTGGGTTGGACTGGGTCAACCTCGGATGGGTTGAGTTGGGTTGGACTGGGTCAAGCTCAGTTGGGTTGAATTGGGTTGGACTGGGTCAAGCTCAGTTGGATTGAGTTGGGTTGGACTGGGTCAAGCTCAGTTGGATTGAGTTGGGTTGGACTGGGTCAAGCTCAGCTGAGTTGAGTTGGGTTGGACTGGGTCAAGCTCGGATGGGTTGGGATAACTGGGAGTGGTTGCATCATGCTACGCTGGGCGGCTTTGGGTCAGGTAAGCTGGACAGCACGGGATTAGCTGCAATGGTTTGCGTTGGGCTCGACTGCATTTTTTGGGTGTGTTGGCTTGGGTCGTACCATGATAGGAGTTCGGTTATGTGGTAATTGGTAATCCCTTTCAAGTTAATGGCAAGTCTCTCACGATATTTCGCTTACACCTATTTTAACATTTTGCGAAGTGCTGTGCGCAAAAAAATGTCATGCCACCAAACACCCATGTACATCAGTTTACAGCGACAGCGCAGTCACAAGCACGCAAGTGAAATGATTTGGTTTAAAATACTCACCAAAGAAGTCAGTCAGCTCGATAGCACTGCCACACCCTGCACATCATAGCATCCCAGACACCCATGATGACGCACACAAAACAACAGCAGATCCAAGTGCCGATGATGCCCATTGGTCTGAACTGACAGACACACTGATTTGACAGACGACCTATGTTCTAAAAGGATTCATCCAATCAAGTTTTGATGGACCACGAGGCTGACTTTGGACTCCATTTGTCAGCAACAGCTTTCAACACGCTATCGCTATTGGGCTAAACCATTCGTGGGGGGGGGGGGGGGGTAGCTCTTAACGCTTTCCCCATACGAAGTTTTGCCTGTTTCTCCTGATTTTTATTCACCGAAAGACCCTCAGCAGTTCGCTTATATCCACCTTTCAACTTCATCAGCGAATTTTAACACATCCATTCGATTTGCTTATGATAACAGTATTCTATGACTGCCAGCAAAACCCGGCCACTCTCACAAAATAACCTAACTTTGTCCTAAAACAGACACCATTCTTGCCACCATACGCCAAACCATCCCCAGATGATCAATATTGTATGTTTGCACCCTGTGTATAACAGTGTCTTTTTGTTAATGGTGTCTTACATGCCGAGCACGCATACCCAAAACTTCTGCTGCATTGCTACGTGAAATATTCGATCACACAGCCGTCATATCTGTCGAAAACTATCCGTTCTTATCAGCAAATTGCTGTTGAACGAGCCTGAACTTTTAAAAGCCTTCGGGCTTACAGATAAAAGCTGTTTTGATGACTTCAGGTAATTATTCACCCTCACTTCTAAACGCATTAACGCAGTAGTTTGCTCTAGCCTGCCATCATTCATGAAATCAGATGTCTGGCATGGCTTCTTTCCAATCGTAGTTAATGCATTTTGAATAGATATGACATTTGCCTAGATTTAGCCTCCCTTATTAAGTTATTGAAACCAAATATCAGCATTGGACGTTATCGCTGTCAGCTTTTTAGCAACGTGACCGATTTACCATCACCGAATCGGAAAGTGACCCCTGAAATCCTATATTTACATAAATAAAAAAAAAACAATAAAGTTAATGGACCCAACACAGAGTCATGCAGAGCCCCACAGTTAATCCTCTCTCATTTACTTTTTAACATTTCCCACAAATCCAGAACATCCAGGTAAATGGATGCATGTTATTAGTTTACAACATTTTACCATGCAACGTTTTTCCACTCGAGCTTTTATCCGGGAAGTATAAGTTACACGAACAATGTAGATGATGTTATATCTTTCATCAATATTATCAGCGGTGAATCGCAAAAAAGTCATTGTTCACTTCCGTGTGAGGCATCAGCTCTGAACAAACAATAATGCCATTAAAATGAGTTTAATGTGATGGAATCTATGGACGCGACTAACTTCAAAACAAGTTGGTGTGCAATTTCTGCCTACTACCAGAAACATCAGTTGCGTACCAGCGGATGTCAACACACCCTAGTGTTTCACGAGACATAACCGTTTATTTGAGAAAACTGCCGCCCGGAAATTAGACGCCGTACCTTGCACAATGGGCCACTTGCAGTGAAGCAGCCATGCCTAATAAGCATGTAGTTCTTGACGCTTTTCTCATAGTTTGTCACATTGTAATAGTACGGAAAACATGACTAGAATAATGATAGAAGCAGACAGCTCACATATGTGCAATTATTCTAGCCATAAACATCAACCTACATGCCACTTTTCTCTTTAGTTTGTAAATATATAGAAGTGCTGGGCCCCTCATATATACGCTTATGGAAGGTGTTTTGTAGGATGCCCTACCCCAAAAAATTGGTTTGTCTTTGACATTATATATCAGGACATCCGCCTGCATATGTGCCTGTGCAGAGCGTCATGATAGGCCCAGGCGCGGTCAAGATGTTTATCTTCAAAGTGTTTCGTACTTTAAAATTGTAAGCTTGGTATATGCGACACTAAGTGCAAACCACTTGACAGCCTTCTCCTGAATGCTCACTACTGGATGCATGTGAACTGGAACGTGTTGTCCGCATTTGACGTCACCGTTAGCGATCACCCAGACGGTCCACTGCGGAGCCTGGAACTAATCACTCCAACGACTGTGTCAAGGCGTTTGTGCCCTGCACGAATAGGGGGTGACCTAGATAACCCAGTTCGCTCTGCACCGGAGGTAATAGTCATGATGGGGCTACCCTCACTGGGATGGGAATGGGCTAGCAACAGCGCTGCTGCTTGCGGCCTCCGGCTCGTAGCTGATCAACGATCGTTAACAATGGGTGTCTCGCTCGAGGAGACCGACCACTAGTCAGTATTCCGGACCGATCACGCCCGAGTCCGGGTCACATCCCAGGCCAAGTCCAGACTGGAGTCCGGGTCAGGCCACAGGCCCAGTCCAGACCGGAGTCCGGGTCAGACCACCGGCCGAGTCCAGACCGGAGTCCGGGTCAGACCACAGGCCCAGTCCAGACCGGAGTCCGGGTTAGGCCACGGGCCGAGTCCAGACCGGAGTCCGGGTCAGACCACAGGCCCAGTCCAGACCGGAGTCCGGGTTAGGCCACAGGCCGAGTCCAAAACGGAGTTCGGGTCAGACCACAGACCGAGTCCATACCGGAGTCCGGGTCAGACCACAGACCGAGTCCAGACCGGAGTCCGGGTCAGACTACAGGCCCAGTCCAGACCGGAATCCGGGTCAGACCACCGGCCGAGTCCAGACCGGAGTCCGGGTCAGACCACAGGCCAAGTCCAGACCGGAGTCCGGGTGAGACCACAAGCCGAGTCCGGACCGGAGTCCGGGTCATACGACAGGTCAAGCTCAGACCGGAGTCCGTGGTAGGCCCCAGGTGGAGTCCAGACCGGATCACCAATCGGGACCGACCAGAATATATCACAAGTATTCAGGTTAAAGGACAGACTATATTCCACATCAAGCCGAGCCAAACCAGCTTAAGGCTCAGTTCGAACCGCAGTGCAGCCCAAAGCCAGACTAAACCATAGGCGGACTCCAGACCGCCTATGGTCAGATAATATCGTTTGAGATGGCCGGTCATCTCGGTTCGAGCTGACTGGCCATCTCA